GAAGAAAGATTTTTTATTTCATTTTTGGACTATATGAATGTATTTCCTTTTTATTTAAAAGAGAGAGAAGGTGGCTTAGTCTCGACCCTTGCGTTATATCCTGGTAAGAATAAGTGTCTGTGTCTGTATCTGCTATGAGCTGGGAAAGCTCCTTGGAGCTCTGAGAGCTTGGGAATGAGATGGTTTTATTGGTAAATGCTGTCAGTTGGTTGCTTGTGAGGGTGTACATATTTCAGAGAAAGCAAACAAATGCACAAATCCCATCTCTTGGCATCTGCCAACTTTTTATTCATTTTCTGAATTAACTTGGTATAAAAATTAAATATTTTGTTTAAGAAGTGTGATGCACAGTTAAAAACATATCAGACGTGCTTTGGGGCTGTAGGGGAGGCAGATCTCACATAACCCACAGATGACAATTGTTCATATAGATACTGTGATTCTGTACTTGGCCATGGGAGTAGAAGACTTGGGTGGGAAGAGAATCTTTAAAATAATCTCAGTAACAATGAGATGAAAGGACATGACCAGATCAGGGCTATATTTGCTATATAACAGAGAAGGGAACAATGCTGAGGGGTGGGGACTGTGCATGCATGAGGGTTCTTCCAGTCTGAATATCAGACAGATGGAGGTAAATGGATGACCCAGAGAGGTTATGAATAGTTAAGCCATTTCCTGAACTAATCATTTGTAGAGGCATTTAAAACTTGTGTGCTCCATTTTATTTTTCCAGAACCACTCAGTGCTTGGGAATTATTCACAGCCACGCTCTGCACATTCTCTGTGGGCCTGGAAGAGTAGTGGACAGCCCTGTGACAATGGGCGAAGAGAGGGGCCTGACACGGATGCTGCTGGAATGCAGTCTCAGTGACAAGCTATGTGGTCAGTACAGATGCCACAAGTGTCTATGCTCTGATTTTGGGATTACAGAGACTAAGTTCTGGATATATTCTTGAAGGAGAATTACTTGATTTCTAGTAGAAATGAAGATAGTGGTATAAGAATGGAGACTAGGGGCCATTGACTTTTGGGTGGGGTGGGAATAAATGATAATTGGACATCCAGATGCATCATCCTCTATCTCAGTAGCAAAAGCCAGATGCAGCTTCCTTTATCTCAGTAGGAAAAATGACAAAAGAGGCACTGGGCACCCTTGATGGGGTCAGAAACAGACAGTGGGGTTTATGATTAGAGTTGTTCCCAGTACTGTTTCCGCTGAATTGAAACAGAGGGGAAGGAAGAAGAGAAGACTTTCCTTGTATGAAGAGCTCAGGACTCATGAATAGGGGAAACTGTGGATTTCAGGTGAGGCTGCTTAATTATTTTTTCTCTTCTTATTTAATTGGCTACCCAGTTGTTCAGGAGAAGCAGTACGAGGTGATTATCATTCCTGCTCTCCTGGTGGGCACCTTTCTTATCCTTCTTGGGGTTATCCTGTGGCTTTTTATCAGAGAACAGAGATCCCAACAGCAGCAGCGTCCTGGACTCCAAGGTAAAGCTCAAAGTGTGGGGCTGGGCATGGGCTCAGGAAAGACAGAGATTAGGAAAATTCTGTTTCCAGATTCAGCGGGCTCAGGTCTGGGAGGCTAGGTACCTGCAGTGACAGAGCAGGGACTCACTGACCCAGAGTGGAGAGGGAGTGATCCCTTCTCTCAGAAGTCGTGAGTTGGAACTTAACATATGCCTGGTGACTGACCGAAGGTGGGCAAGAGATGTCTCATGTGGCCTGTTTCTGTCCTCTTTTGGACTATCAAACCTTAGACTATGTGACTGTGTAAAGACCTAGGGGAGAGACCTACAGGTAAAGCCCAGGGTTTTGGCAACATCCTGAATGATGTCGTCTTACCCCAGGATACATTCCCTCCCTACTCTTTGTGCCCAGAATATATGATGAAAACAAGTGGCCTTTATAGTAGTCATTGAAATGTTAGTAAGAAATAACAGGCTATTGTGGAGTTCTGCTGAGCCTGTGATAAGAGAAAATCGGCTCATACATGAAACTACTGGTAGGAATATAAAGAAGGAAAAAATAACCTAACAGTGACATGAAATTCTATAGTGGCTCATCCTTACTCCCTTTTAAAATTTCATCCGTATTCTCTTTTTACTTCACTTTTATAGAAAACTTCTCAAAGACATTGTCTTAATTCACTCCCACTACTTCTACTTAGGATATTCTCTTTTGAATCTACTACAAAAAGACTTTTATCCCTACCACTCCCCTCAAACAAGTCTTTCCAAGTTCATCAGTGACAGCTGTGCTGACAAGTCCAGGGATCAAGTCTTAGGCCTTGTCTTCCTTGACCTGTCAAAAGCATTTGTAACAATTTTGCACTTCTTTTTTCTTGAAATATTTTGTAAAAATTTAAATGGTATACTTTTTCACTCTTATGGATTCAAATACTTTTTCTGATGGTCCCTCAAACTCCTGACTTATATGGAAACACCTAACCGTGTAGTCTGGGTACAGTACACATATGTGACATGTCTAAAACAAACTGAGATTCTCTCATCAATGTCCTCTCCCACAGTCTTCCTTGTCTTTGTAAATGGCAAGTCCAGCCTTGTGTATTCTCAGCCTAAAATCCTGAAGATATTCTTATCTCTTTCTCTCACGGTCCTTATCTAATCCATAGCAAATCCTGTTAACTCTATCTTCAGAATAAAACCAAGCCACTTAACCTTGCACAGATCACTGGAGTACACTCCTGTTTTCTCTGCCTCTCCCCTACCCCTTCATGGTCTGTTCTCCCAGAGAAGCTAGAAGGACTTAAGGCAGAGTCAGTCCTGTCAGTTCTCTGCTTGAAACCCGCAAAAGATGGCTCAGAATTAAAAATGACAAAAAGTCTTTTCAATGGCCTTACATGCTCCGAGCCTTCCTGGTCTTATTTCCTAAAACTCTCCTGTGGTCCCACGTGGCTCCAGCTGCACTGGCGTCCTTGCTTAACGCCTTTGCATTCTTGCTCTCTTCGCCTACAGCGCTCTTCCTGGCAACAGTGTGGTTTGCTCCCTAATTGCTTCCAGGTCTTTCTCAAATGTCATCTCATCATAAAGGCCTTTCTGGACTTTCATACATGCTATAACATCACTGATGCTTCTTTTCCTTTTGTTATTTTTCTCCATAA